ATAACTTGTTTTGACAATTTTACCTATCAATTAAGATGTCATTTGAATTAAAATTATTGTTTGAACGTTGACTGACGATTTTATGGACGGAATGCGTGAAATGGACCAATGCAGTAATTATATTATATATAAAGGTTTGGGACTTTGACTGCAAAAATTAAAGGTTTTAGTGTAATTTGAAACAAAATGAAAGGTTTGGGACCAGCGTTGCAATTTTTTCGAGTCAAAATTACTGTTGAAACGTTGACCGACGATTTTATGGACGGAATTAAAGGATTGAGACCGACCCTGCAACTACATATAAAGGTTTGTGATTTCGACTGCAAAAATAAAAGGTTTGGATGTAATTTGCAACAAAATGAAAGGTTTGGGACCACGGCCGCAATTTTCCCTTTTAAAAATGATGGGACCAAACAAAGGCTTAAGGTACTTGTATTGTGTCTTTTTTATACGTTTTGTTGTCATTTGGGTTAGAACGGTGAGATTCGTTGTGTCCTATTTTACTCTTTTCATTTTTTATTATTCGTATTGGCGAAGTCATTAAAAAGATTGCAAGCTCTCCCAGTGATTCATCCTGTATCAGCCATGTTTGTGTGCTCTGATATCAAATGAATCACTTGATCAACAATTATTTGCATGTTTCGGATGGCTTACACTTAAAAATAAGAACCAAGTGTTTGGCTTATTTGGACTCATTTTGAGTGTAGACGTGTCCACATTGAATGTATGTTATACAATGATTATTTTTAAGCATAAGCCCCCAAACATGTCACAAGTAGGGATTAAATGATGCAATGACAACTATAGTTTCCTCATTGTTCACCATTGGCCACTGAACTCTAAATCGTTTTTAACTAGTTAGTAAACAAAGCTATGTCAACGAGTCGAGTCGAAAAAAGAAGTTCGGGTTCAGCTCGAGCTTTTTTGGGCCCGAGCCAAGCAAAGCTCAGCCCGAGCCTTAGCGGGCCGAGCCTTAGCCTCATCAAAAAATTTAAAATTTGTACAATTTATACGCACTATAATTGGGCCCAAGTCGAGCTTAACAAAGCCCGGCTAGAAAATGAGGCTGGGCCCTGACTCGGTGTAACCGAGCTCTAGCCGGGCCTGAGCAGCCCGAGCAGACGAGTTTTTTTACCATCCCTAAGTAAACTTGTCAAGTCGTTACTAAGTCATCGAGCGTTGGAAAGATAAAAGTGCCAAATGATATGGATAATCATATAGTGGAGCGAACCTTGAATGTTGAAGCCCTTGAGCAAAGGAATACGTAGAACCCTAACATTTGGCTAAAAACTTGATTGGAGGCCTCAACCAGCAACAAGACTAAAGGCCTCCTGATGGAAAACTCATTTCGAATTCTGACATAATAAACTTCGAATTTAGTACACTAAACCCATGAATTCAAATAATGAAATTCGACACAAATATCACAAAGCGCAAAGTCCGTGTGCTTTTGATGAGAAACTTAATCACGACTTTCAACATATTAATGAAAGAATTTCAATTCACGAAAACAACTGAATACTCCTAAAATCGACTATAAATAAATTTATTGCACAATTGAAAAGGGATCCAATTTTCATTTTAAAAACCCTAAAGAATAAAAGATTTTCTACTCTAAATATGCCTTAGATTGAAAGAATAATATCGAATTTCTTGAAAATTGAGAGAATAACATTTCCCTGCTAACAAAATGCTAGATTCTCCATCTCTCCCTCTTTATACAAATTATTCGCTTCAAAGCACACACCAGAAATTCTCAATAAGAGAAAAATCCTACTTTGTTTGGGAAAAAAAATTAGCATCGCCTTTGAAAAATAATATCCATTTTTTAGTGACAGATAACTTTATTATCACCGCCACAATGTTAATTTCGTGATGACAACGTCAATAAGGACTTTTATGAATAAAATTATTTAGTATTTTCATCACAGTGTCTCTTTCATTTTTGGTAATCCAACTTCCACTAAATTAATTTAAACCTACTTAACCCCATTTTGGTTTCAATCCTATAAGACGTTTATGTTTATGACTTATCGTAGTATTGATTTAGTCAAAATAAGATTATTAAAAGGACGACAGATTCCGAGGAGACAGAGAATAAGAGAAAGCGACTCAAAAGCCGGCAAATCAACCACGCGTCGCTAATTCCCTTACACTACCTAACCCCACTGCCATGACGCCCTCAATTCCTCCACCTAATGTTTTCATCAGTATAATAATTATTATTTTTATAATATTTCTATTATTAATATTATTTTCAGAAAATACAGTGTGATTTATTGTTGCAATTCTAAGATTTCTTTTTTATTTATTAAATAATTCGACTTTTAGAGCAGCACGATTAAGCTTATGGTCTGTTTGATTGCAAGGAATTTGGGTGGAAAAAAAATGAATTACATGGAATGGAATTGTTTTCATGTGAATTGTCAATTAATTGTGTTTGATTGATATAATTTTTCACATGAAAATGTTGAAATTTTGAATCTTTTGGTGTTCGTTTGACTTTGTTTTTCATGAAAATTATCCATTAAAGGAATTTTTTTTTTTTTTTTTACAATTGTCCATAGAATTTGTTTTCATTGCCAAAAAAAAAAAAATAGGGACACGTGGGAGGTGGGAGAAAAATATTTTCCATGAAAAATTTTGACTATCAAACACGACAAAAGTGGGAAATGAAATTTCACGAGAAACGAAGTCATTAATAACTATCACCAAATGACATAGTACAAAAATGATTTTGTAGTTGAACATGGATCCTAAAGTTCTTCATCTAACGTATTTTTATTGCAATCCAACATTTTCCACCGTTTTGTCTCGCTAAGACAACTTGGAAGGTTTGGTCCAACAATTCAATATGTCAAGACAAACATGTTTATTTATGTATGGTAAAATTTTGCTTTTAATGTTGTCCATAAGATAGGTGACGTGTATATATTTTTTATTAAATAAAATTAGGATTATCCCATGGATACTCTTTGGCTTAACTTGAGAAAGATGAAAGTAAATTTTTTTTTGACAAAAACAATTAACTTTCTGTTAATTTGAATACCTCTTACTTTACTTCCAAAGATATATAATACATTTTATTAATTAATTATAAAATGATATCCTAAAAAGTAAAAACTAAACTTACACGTAAAAGAATGGCAAAAAAGTGACGGGTGAAGGGTCAAATCAAAGGTATTCCGAAGGGCACGTGAATATACTCTAATCCGTCCAACAAAATCCAACCCTAATAAATATTACAGATTTCATACAAATTTGTACGCTGCAAAGGTAAATCAAATACGGGAAAACCTTGTCCAGTACTCTTTATTAAGCTGGGAATGGAAACAGCCTCCACTTGCACTCCCACACGATTGCGATTGCTCCTCCTCACCTTTTCATACACAAATTTGTATAGATTTTTACGGTAAAGGGTGTATCATACATTTCTTCAAAAATTTAACATAAATGCACAAATATTATTTGCAAGGATGACTAAAAGCAAGAAAAGAACAACTCAAATGGATTAATTTCATCATAATTAAAAACGATAAAGCTTGAAGATGAGATATATACAGACACACTAGTTTCTCATAGTGATCTTTTCCATAAGTTCAAGATAACTATAAGTAACTTCTTGGAAACATCAACATCGCCGGAAAATGCTAAATACAGAACCTTACTGGTGCATTGTGTAACACCATTAGTAAAATACCTAGTTACATCCACAAGGGTGGAGGCTCGTTCAGGTCAATGGGCAACCCTCGTCTCACAATCCCAAAATAGTTTGCGGGACCGTCGCCTTCCACCACCGGAGGCCCAGAAGAGGTGGCTACAGGCTCGCCATTGCCCGCTGACGATAAGCTATTATCACCAGCGTTGAAACTCGCGTCTCTGAGCACTCCAGTCCGGAGAAAATCATTTATTACAAGAGTGCCTGACTGAGAGACCCACCGATGATCGGAAGGAAGATTGAGATCCAAGTGATGACCAAGCGGCGGAGAAGGAAAGTTGGTCTTCGCCTTGGTACCGCGGAGGGACCTGGCGGCGCCGTCGTAAGCTAGTGCAGCTTCCTCTGGGGTGTCAAATGTGCCCAACCAAACACGGGTTTTCTTCCACGGGTCACGTATCTCCGCCGCATACCGGCCCCATGGGCGCTTCCTCACTCCTCTGTAGTGGCCCTCGCGCGTTGAAGCCATCGCCGAGAGAGAAGATTCTAGAGAGATAAATTTAAGCGGTGTTCTGTTTTCTAGAGAGAGACAACGATATGGTGAGGCCTAAAAAGAGGAGTTTTGCGGCAGTGCGTGTGTGTGTGAAAAAGTTTGGGTCCCTCTGAGTCTCCCGTAATCGTCGGCTGGACGGCTTAAATAAACAATTTAGGAGTTATTGTGTGTAAATCAAGACCTAGTCCATTTTCACCTCTCCACCGTTGGATTTCGATCAAATACGATATCCTGTAAAAGTTGATCATTCCACACGCAATCACGTCTCTTTAACAAGTCAATGCACATGATTTTTGCCTTGCAATGACTTATTCGAATTTAGCAATAAAGTGCTAGCATAAACCATATTCTCGCATATGGGATGGGCGCGTAATAATGCGATCATCTTATTTCGTAGACTGTGCATATACATGCTTAAATGTCAAAATGCGCATGTATCGTGTTAAAAATTATGTCAAAAATTGAAAAATCAAATCAGCCCTAATCACCTAAGTCACGAATTGTGTACAGAAACCTGATGGATTTTGACGTTTTTCGTAAAGTTGTAAACAATTTTTTTCATAAAGTTACTATCTACGTCGAGCTTGAGCCTCCTTCCTCTAGTTTTACTAGAAAGTGATATTGGTAATGCACAATCTTAAATTGTTGATACTTGTGATTATGAGAACGAGGTTAACAAAATATCTTACCATCTACAAGAGATAATAGAAATATCGAGTTGAAATAATGGAGCTCGATGAAGATGATTTTGCATCGAATGATGCGGAAGATGGCTTTAAGATTAAATTGGAATCCTATAAAAAGTCAGAAAAAATTTAAAAAATTTTAAGACGATGTTCTTGTTTAATCTAATTGTAAGAATTGACTATCGAGTAATTGTAGTATATATAATTTTGAATAATATATTTTTGTTTAAAATTTGAATAATATGCATAAAATTCAAATAATTGTAGTATTTATGATTTGGAGTAATATATTTTTGAAAAGAAATTTGAAAAATATGTGTAAAGTTCATAGAATGCATTATTTTATTTATTTATTGGTTTAAAATATTTAAAATAATGTTAAAAATTGACAAACGCATAACCATGCATATGTTTCACGTATGCTTGCTTGTGGTCAATGTAAACGCAATGTCACGCATTGCTCATTTTAGAACCTTGGCTAAGAGCGGTAATCAATAATTTTATAATAAGTTATAGTTCGTGTTAATTAAGTAAAAAAGATCATGTTTAGTTATGGTATTTAATTTCCACTATTAATACGTTACATAACATAACTTTAATTGATGTACTTCGAAACTTATAAATAGAGCATCTTGAGTTATAAAATTGTACGACAATATTATTAATAATTGTCCCCTTTTTTACTTGGGTTTTAAAGTCTTACAGCAACTCCATATATCATCAGTATATGTACCGTTTCTAAATTGAGTTTTAAAGATTTACGACAACTTTATAGATTATTGATACGTGTCGGGCTTCTGGAGCGTTCAGACAATAAATTGGTTACGTTTCAATCGGAGCAAAAAATTGACATTTAAGCTATAAATTCTAGATTTGACCCAATAGTATTTGTCCTGGAAAATCAAGATAACAAGTACTCATCTTCCAAACTTCAATTTTGAAAAAAGAAAAATAATGAAAATTAATATTATTTATGGTTTTAATTTTTTAACCACAGGCCAACTTTTGTTTGATCATTTATATTTTTCCATCCAATGCCTACAACAACTATTTAAAACATTGTTTTGGTCTACTTTTGCACATTTGAGCTTAAGTCGAGACTTATAGTCAGTTAAATAGTTGCCTTTGTTTTGATTTGATTTTGAAATGTGTATAGATTATATACATGTAAGTTAATTAATAAGTAATTTGAAAAGCAAAAATAATTTATTTAACATAATTAAAATGAAAAAAAAGGACTTATTTTTAATTTTAATAAATATTTATAATCTCATCGAGTTACAATAACTAATTAAACCCCTTTTTCACAGCCATTTCTTCAAAACCTTTTTTTTACAATAAAATATTCTGTACGTAAACTAATTTTTTTTATTTTTTAACCATATATTTTTTAAAAAGTTACTATTCTAAAACTCATTTTTTCGAAAAAAAAACTCGTTATATTTGGCCCTCATTTTTTCAAAAACTTATTTTTCCTAAATTCATTTTCAATTACACATTCTACTATAAAATAAATTTTTTTTTTATCAAATATTTTTTAATAAAATATTATTTTAAAATCCATTCCGCCTTGAGCAGAAGGTAACTCTGCTGCCGAAACCAAGTCTTTGCTCGACAAGACAGATATTTTTACAGGTGACTGGTCAATTATCACGCATCAAAACCCCGTTTTCGACTTGGTCAAAAACGTATAGAGGGAAGGCAAACTGAAATATACGGAAGTAAGAAAATAGGGGTAGTGGGCGTGAATGTGTGGGGTTGGAGGAGGCAGGTAAGAGCCGCCGCTTGATAAGACGTGTCGTGGCCTGGGGGTGTGGGCTATAAACAACTCCAAAATTCAGGCCCTAGCCTTACGTATGCCCTACCCGCCGTACGGCGCCTCCGACTTTTTTCTATATTTCTTTAATCAATAAATAAAACCCTAGCTATTATTATTATTATTTTGTCTTTTTCTGTTTATGTACGAAATATTTGAAGCTTTATTTCGCCATCTCGTAATGATTTAAGCTTTTAAAAATTCTTATTTAAATTATATTGTCCTAATCTTATATTATTTTATTGTTGGAGTTTAATTTAGGTATGCTCTTTATTTTATCCAAAAAAAAAAAAAAGGTATGCTCTTTATTGTTTCTTTTATTTGTAATTTAAAAGGTCGACAAACTTGATTATGTGGTTTTAAATCATAATTTTTTGGACTAGTATTAAGTATCCATTCCAACTTCATTATCTGAAAATTCATATTTTCAATTATAGATTCTTTCAATAAAATAATTTTACACTTAAACTCAATATATTTTTCCTATATTTTAGCAACACATTGTTCAAAAAAGTTACTATTATGAAAAGGATGACTTTTTATATAGTGGGGCTCAAACGCGAGTTTAATAACCTAAGGGTCCGTTTGATAGGCAAATGTGGAAAGAAATTTCAATTCCATGTTAGTTGGAAAATAAAAACTCACCAAATTCATATGAATTCGTTTTCCACGAAAACAAAGCAAATACAAATTAAAGTTGTTGTACCTTGGAATTCGATTTGCATTTTCACGTTGCAATCAAACGATCAAAGTGAAATTCTTTTTCCTCGAAATTGACATTTTTCATGAAAAAGTTCGCAATCAAACACGCCTTAATTTCTTTTGTAATGTACTTCAAGCAAGATTTATGTAATTTTTTAAAAATATATTTTGATAATTGATACTCAGAGTGCAGGTGAAGGTGGTGCGTTGTCAAATTATTATTGGATGAGGTTTGAGTGTATGATGTGTGGGGTGGGCATGTGTGTGTGAAAACTTTGAACTGTAGAGTACTGTAATATTCAGACTGTATAAATTCTGTCAGGTCCCCACGTGGAGGCGGGTGCACATTTTACATATTACGTGGTGTCTGAGTTGAAGGAGACAGCGCCGAGTTATATTTGAATCGGTTGGGCTGTGAACCGGTGGTCCTGAGTCTTTGTTTGCTTAACTCGTGGGGTCCACTTTATTTTACCCTCAGAATTGTCAGCATGAGGGAAATAAGTGAAAAGTGTAATGTGTGACGTAGGTTTGAGTGTTGGAGTGGCGGACTGGCCCCTGGGGACAATTAATTACCGAATATTTTGACTTTTCTATTCTCTTTAGACTTTTCTGCTTTTAAAACTTGCATTATCAGTCCTCAACTTATTATATATTTATCAAATTGATGTTCAATCTCTATAGATGAACGAATTAGTCGCCACTCCTTCATTAAGTTACATAATTAGTTCTTCATGTTGAAAACCTTATAAATACCAGTTAAATCGTTGAGGAATACTTGCATGTCCAATTTTATGATATTAATATTGCTTATTATTCAAAATTTCTTATGATAATTTAATTAAAATCATAATAATTTTAGTATTTAGACGAAAAATATCTTGTCCGGCCAAGTAATAGTAGCACTTGCCTCGTGCCCCACCCACACTAAGTAATAAAAAAAATGTTTAAATTTTAAGGAAAAGGCCCCTGAAATGGACATTGTTTACATAGTCATGCTAAACATCAGCCAACCAGGCACCAAAAAAAAAAATTCCTAGGTTGTGACAAGACAACTCGCCTCATGTTACACCCTTTTATAACTAAAAAAGACTGAATTTAAAAATCTAAGGTCTTAAGTCGATTCAATGTGTTAATTTTTAGTTCATACGTGCTTTTGTTTCGTATAACTAAATTTTTTTTTTTTAAGGTCTTAAGTCGACTCAATGTGTTAATTTCTAGTTAAAACATCATATTGGTTTAGCTTAAGTCAAGTTAAAAGAAAGGGATTCACTAGTTGGAGAAACTTGAACCTTTCAAAGAGTACTGTGATTCTTCTATATCTGTAGAGTGACTTTTGTGAATCAAGAAATTGTCTATAAGAAGTAGAAACAAAACAATTATCCAGCTAAGGATAAGTTTCAATTGGGCTGAAATTCTTTAGGCCTTAACTTAATGAGTTATCTTAATTAACATCCTTTTGAGGGTAGCCCATTACCCAAATCCATTAAAAATTAAGCCCGGCATTTCATTGCAATAAGCATTTTGTCCCCTAATAAATAATATCCAAGAGTATATATTAAGCCCCTGTTTTGGTTTATCTAAAATCAATTTTTAGTAAATCTTGATTGAAGTTAATAAAATTATAATTTAAGTATTAATAAAAGTTGTGAATTCATAAAATGTGTGATTGAAAATCAATTTTATAAAATATCAAATAGATACAAAAAAATTTGAATCTTTTTTCGAGCAATTTTTAAGTTTAAGTTATACAAAAGAGAGAAGAATTACGATTG